GCAATTATTATAAATTCTAGTTATTCAATTATTTTTTTAAGGCTCAACTTTCTCTTTGTTCTTTTCATTTTATCTTATTTCAACATTTCAGTCGTGTTTGTTTTATTTTTGTGGTTGGGAAAGAAGTTTTAATTGTCCACGTGTTATAAATAAAGTTTGTCTAAAAAGAAGTCTACAGTAAGTGCAGTGGGATTCTCTCTGCGCCGCTTGTCTTTTCCTAAGTCCATATGAATTCTCCTTCACTTCTTTCCTTGACCTCATGACGAAGGAAAAGTGGTTCGGAAAAAGCAGATTAGTTTGACTTTTCGACCGCAGCCATGGGCTTAAATCATAAGGACGTAACTTGTCCTGTACGGACACAGTTCAGAGTTTCTTGTACTAACTGATCTAATGACAGAGCTCCTTAATCTCACTCTGAACCTTTTCAGGGATGTTGTTCTACAGCTGGACTTCCTTATTATTCTGACTGAAAGTTTTATATTTTCTTATATTAACATACACTATGATTTCTTTTCTTACCTAAAGAGGGGGTTGTTTTCTTGTACAAATGAAATATATTTTTTGAGAGAAGTGTTGCAGTGTTTCTGTGACTTGGATTAAGTGAACTATTCTAAAAGTAAATAATAGAAGGTGGAGATGGATGAGGAGCTTCTCTCACAGACAGGATGTGATTAATGACAGTGTGAGTGTGAGTCTCTGGTAGAAGGTTGGTGAGAGTTTGTGGTATTAAAAGCTCGGCTGTAAAGACAAACACTTACATGAACATAATAATAATAATAATAATAATAATAATAATAACTCTGATGATGTCTAGCTGGTCAGAGGTTTACATTTATATTTACCAAGATGATGCAGATACCTTTGTTGGAAAATACACAGAATACACACACGACACATTCTCAGATTTATTTACATCCAAACTGATCAGAGTAAAACTAGCAATGAAATTTCCAAATCCCTCAGCACGTGAAGTCTCTGGGTGAAGACCAGATTTTGCTCAAACAAAAATGTTCTTTCTTTCATTTTTACTTTGGCTCTAACAGAGAAAGCAACAGAACACCTCCTCCTCTCTTTGTACCACCTGGTGCTGATGCATGAATTAACTACTTCTTATATGCAGCAACTGATGCACTTGTATTTCAAACCTGAACGCAGTAGATGAAGAATGTATTCTGTGTTTCATATGAATTTACAACAGACACAAACTTGAGTTCTAAAATCAGAATTATTATTATTAAATTATTTATTTAAATTAATTCCTTTGACCAGAGTCCAGAATAGAAAAATAGACACTTTGTCTTTGTTTTCATTGTAAATGCCTCTTGTTATACATGTGTAAAGTAAAAACAGTGACTATCAATGGATGGATTGTCATGAAGCCACCAACAGTTACTAAGAGGGAGGGGCTTACGGGACGGTCAGAAGACAGATGAAAGTGTCTGCTTACGCACCTTAAACTGGCGGTAGAGCCTAGCAAAGCATGGATTTAACACTTGAACTGGCACTAAAACAACAGTAGAAATTATCTGATGAGAACCTTTAGGAAACAAACATTATGATGACATTTGAAAATATCTCAGAAAATAGCTCAATACAGCACAAAAAATTTCTAGAAACTACCAAAAATGTTCCAGTTAACTTGTGTTTTATTGTCATATATCAGTAAATCTGAACTAGGAACTGTTGTGTAGCAATAGCAAAACTTACAAATAGCTCCTTTAAGTGCTGTGTAACTGGATGATGAACTGTCGTATGTTTAGTTTTCTGACTTTTACTGCTGAACAACTCAACTCAATTTACTCCTGCTCCTTCAAACACACACGACTGGTAAATCTTTTGCAACAAACACTATCAGGTGTGGACCTCATGTGCACCTGGAGAGTCTTCAAACCATCATAACCAAATTACTTCTCTCTGGTGTGAACTTTCATGTGTCGCTTGAGATGACACGACATTATAAATCTTCTCCCACAGACCTCACAACCAAATGGTCCCTCTCCTGTATGTAGGCATCCCATGTGTATCTTCAGATTCCTCTTCAAAGAGAATTTACCACCACACTCGGAGCAGCGAGATTTCTTGCCAGTGTTACGTTTTGTATCCCCTATATGGACACCGTTACTTTTCAGAGTCTTTAAACCTGACTCAGGTCCCTGGTTCGCCGTCCAACTGTCATCACTGCTTTCGCTCTCATATTCAGAACCTGACAAAGGTTTCTGCCAATCATTAACGCTGACCTGAGTCTCTGAGGTCTCTGGAGGGGCTGAGGCCTCGTCAGCTGTACCTTGTTGTAGATGAGTAAGTGGCTCTAAGGTCTGGGCTGGTTCTGATCCACCGCGATCCTCTTCACGAGGTTCTGTTTCCACCTGACGAACATCTGCAGAGAACACACACACACTCAATGGCCAGCTTTATGTCAACCCTGATATCCCATTACTGAACGTTGATGAGATCGGTGATGATTCCTTTGCGCATCCTCAGTAGCGTTACTGTCGCACATATTCACACCTGTAACCTGCCCAGTATAACCAGTCAGATCTGGAGCTGGTGAAACACATTAATACATTTTCTTTTGATAATTCTTCATGTTTGGTGTTTCCTCTGTTTTCACTAATGAGCTGCTGGACACCTCAATTTCCCCTAGGGGATAATTAAGTATAAATCTATCTATACTTTGACAATGTACCTGGATAAACACATCTAAAGCCATGCAAACAAAACAAACAGGAAAAAAATCAGGGATCATCAAAGTTATTTCTTTACATTTGGCAATCAATCCAATAGATAATAGATAATAATAGATGATTCGGTTGAAATGTGGTGGACCAACAGGCTAACATAGCCATCTGCTAGCATGGCTATGACCTGATCAGCTTTACCTTTCAAAGATAGAATAAAATACAAGTCACCTCTACATACAATAGCATTGTTCACATATGCTTAGTTGCTAGTTTATTATTTCTATACTTATATATATATATATATATACTAATATTTAGTCTAGACTCAGATATAAAATAGTAGAACAACCTCTCAGACTGTACAATTTAACAGCACTACAGTCATACAGTTCAATCAGTACCTTTCTAAAACTTAAAATTATAACCTTTATTGCTGGGCAAGTGTATTAGACTGTAATTTTAGCTAGTTAAGTGTAGTTTACTGTTGATAACTGTGGCTAAAAGCCGTAAAATGAGTGTGGACAGTGAGATAATAACATTATAAAGCTACCTGCGCTGTTTAGCTGAACTTTGGGGTTTAAAATGGCGTCCACTAGCTTGCATCGTCGGTTATTTTCTCTCACGCGAGAAAGTTCCTCCGCATACTCCTCCATCCTTCTTCCTGAGTGTCCAGATATCTCTTCAGCAGCGGTTACAGTTAGTCGTCGATTCAACTGCTCTTTCAGCATCTGGAGTTTTTTTTACTTTTCTGGAGTGAGTCTTTGTTTTGGCCTTAAAGGCAAATTAATTGAAACGGCTCAGGGTTAGCGACTCTACTCTGACAGTTTTCTCACTGTGGTTATGAAACCGTGATTGTGCTGGAGCACAACTCATCCAGTTTATGAAATTGCGCCCGACACGTCGAGTTCGCGCAAGGATACACACGCGACTAGGTCTGGTTTTTCAAAATAAAATGAAAGAAGATTAATTTGATTATATTCACAGGAAATGTAAAACATGGCACCATGGTAGAAGATTAGAGCCACATGGGGAAAAGTTATTTTTAGAATTCTGATTTTAAAGTCAGAGTCCGAGAAAAAGAAAAATCAGAAGTAAACTCAGAATTCTGACTTTTTTCCCATTCAGAAGTCAGGACTCTAAAAAAATTAAAATAAATAAATAAAAAATTCGCTTGTGTCCCTAATCCTCTTCCGCATGTTAGCAATCTCTAACAAGTAAAAGTGAAAATGCCTGGTTTTTAGTCTACATGTAGAACTCACAAAACGAATGAAGTATTTTTCCTTACATTATAGAGAGCTATTCAATATCAATATTAAATATAATAATATTTACTTTGTGTGAATATAAACCTATTTTAATTTTCTATGTGTGTTAGTATATACTTCACTTTGTGTTAACCCCTTATTTTGAAAACCGGATGTTGTCACATGTATCCTTACGCTAGCTACAGTTTGATAACTTGTCTATGGTGTCATATTTCTAAGCATCTCCTCCGGTAAGGCTTTCATACTCCAACACTTGTCTTAACAGAATAAACAGAGTAAAGTCGCTAACCCTCGTTTCAATGCAGTTCAACCGTAAAGTTTAAAATACTTGTACACTCAAAAATTATGGGCGCGATGCTTCGGGGAGAAAAGCGGCTTTTATATATATACATATGTATATTTTTACTGAGACCGCTCCGGGGCTCCGTAAAATACCGAGTGAGTTTCGTGACTTTCAAACATTCACGAAATGATGCTACTGTGTCATCAGTTTGTTAAAAAAAAAAAAAGGGGGGGGCGTCTGTGGTTACTGTCTGTTTTTAGCTAGCAAGCTAAGCTAACTTTAGCAGCTTCTAAGGCTAACTCTTACTTTGAGATTCTCCAGATGTGGTGTAACTCGTTTAGAAGAAAATGTTGACCGCACAGAAGATATAGGAGCTCCGTCTGTAATGTCAGAGACATCCTCTTCTACCAGTTGTGAAACTGTTAACAAAATGGCTGCCAGTTGAACTTGTTGCTGACCAACAGAAAATAAGGGTATAACAATAAATAAGTGAATGAAAATTAACTTTTAAGAGCAGCAGTCCCACACCCTTGCCAAGCATTTTAAATCATAGGTAAAATACACTAAAAGTACATTGCAAGACACTGGTTTACGGCATTGTGCTAGCATCATTTAACCTGCAAAGGTGCCTAATTCAACTAAATTTACTGTTGTTTTATTTAACTAATTATGTGTGTGTTGGTGGAATTATTTATCCGTGTTAATTTTGAGGCTAATAGAATCTGTGCTATTGCTGACCTATATGTCTCACTGTGTTCCTGGCTACTGCAGATGTCGCTCCTATGAGGACTGCTGTGGGACTCGCTGCTGTGTGAGAGCCCTGTCCATCCAGAGACTATGGTACTTCTGGTGAGCTACTGACTGAAATGCCCCATTAATGTGCCACACTGAAATTCAGAGGTTCCTAATAATAAATAAATGAACAAATGCAATTTCTTGTACCTGGTGAGTGAACCACAAATATGCTACTTATTGAGTTTTAAGTACATGGATGACCAAATCCTTAGCAATGAAGTTTCAAGGTCAGGCTTTTAGCATTGGAGCTCCTGGTGACAGAGCGCCATTGTCAGCTCAGCTGTGATTCATAAGAGCCATTTACTCCTCCTGGCATTTTGTTCTCAGAATTGTTTGTCAGTTTATTCAAAGAGTGTCATTGAAAAGGGGAAAAGCTCCTAAAAGCACCTGCCTTTCTTCAAGGTCAAGAATGAGCTTTCACATGGTGATAGTGACACAATTGAAGTTTCCTTTCACTCAGCCACAGAGGAGAGAAGGAAATTACTCTGCAACCTTTTGAACTGTTGTGCCCATTGTTCAGGGCTGAGAAACTAAGCACATTTTTAAACCAGTAAAATCTGCTAATGCTCATTGTCCTCACAGAGAACACAAATGTTGTTGAACTGCATGTTTTTTTAATTCACAGCAGAGGGGGCAGACTTTATCTGAGCACACAATAATCCTCTTTTGCTGCTGTGTGCAACTAACTGACTTTAGTTTGTGACTGGTCATGGTCTGTGTTTACCTGCGGTGTTGCAGTTAATACTTACAAAGCATTTAGATTATCATTAGACACTAAAATTCGGTGGAAACCCAGACTAAAGCCTGATGTTTCCTCCATCCTCCTCCCACACTGGAGTCTGTCCACTCCTGCTGGACAGACCTGGGCGTGTTCATGATGTTGAAAAGTCCTCTGTTTGTCTCTCAGGGTGCTGCTGATGATGGGAGTGTTGTTCTGCTGTGGTGCTGGTTTCTTCATCCGCAGAAGGATGTATCCGTCCCCTCTGAGAGACGAGCCAGCGTTCAACGTCTCCTTCACCAGGCACCCTGTCACCACGCCAGGTACAGTAAGATTCAAACACAAGCTAAAATGCCTTAAAACATGATTGAATATTAAGAATAAACATAAAAGAAAAACTTAAAAGTTGGAATCTCCAAGTTTTAGAAATCAAGCTAGTGCTCCATTACGCTCCACCCAGCTCTTCACCCACATCCTCGTCATGTACACCATGTCAGGAGAGCTTGCTCGTCTGTGAGCCACCCATAACAGTGACTGCACAATGAATCTTGGGATATGTTTGGCCACGAAGGATCCACCCGTTGGAGCCTTGTTGTCCAGGAAAAGAAGGATGCATTTGAAGCAGCTTTCGGAATAGGACAGTCTAGTCGCGCCGCTGTGACGCAGTCACAGACCCTGAATTGGGACACAGCCAATATCTTCATCACCTAATACCAGCTGGAAACTCTGTGACACTTGATGTGTAGGATGTTATGGGAGCCTGGTCTGGGGCGACTGGATTATCTAAAGAACAGGTATAAATCATTTGAAATTGAAACAGATTGAGATGCAGTTGGCAACATACAAGTTTTAGATGTGTTTTAGAAACGTCTTACACCCGAGTTTGAATCAGTACACCTGGAAACACCAGCCATAACATGTTAGTAAGTGTGATTCCAATCACCTTTAATTTGCAAAGAGAAAATAGATAGTGAAAATATAGCACAAATGTTTTGTCACTTCGCTGAGGTGGAGAGTTGATAAAAAACAAAATGTGACAAAGTACAGACTTAAAGGTGCCATATGTAGGTTTTCTTGCGGGGATCGGGTGGCGGTGATGAAGGGTTGCTTTGCCAAGAGCTTCAGCCATTGTTGCGTTTCCAAGACGAGAGATTAAGAGAACACTCTCTGATCCGCGCCACCTCTTCATCCTCTCATGTTGAACTGAGGACAGACTGGTGGACGCTACGGTAACTCACTATCGGAAAGTAGTTTTAGGAGATGGGACGAGCTGGGTTTAGCTGGTTAGCATGTCGACTTCAAATGGATGTACACAAGGAATGTGATTCAAATGTCTACTGAAGCTTGTGCGTATCTGCATTCAAAAGTGACTGTTGTCATGTTTTCAGAAAGGTAAACTAATAGCATTTATATCAATCAGACAATAAGAGACTGAACCTTGCTTGCTCCAGGTGCTGAAACCTTTTAGAAATGAGTGACAATATTTCTCAAAAATGTTTCTGGAAGTAAAATGATAAATTGTGAGATGTGTGTGTTTTAGACACTGCAGTCACAGATAATATGACACACAGTATTTGACGTGGTCTATTCTTAACCAGCCCCTTTTCTTCTAAGATCTATTTACAGAGTTAACATCAAAATTGCCCTCTGCAAAATCGCTTCTAGAGACCAGAAAAAAAAAAAATTTAATGGAAATAGAAAGTGAGATCTAGTAAATAAGTGAAGGATACAACATCATTACTTTGATCTGACAGAAAATTTCATAGGATGTGTATGATATTTAATCTACTTATCACTTTTCTGATGTTTGATGATGATACAGTTTAGGTTACTAATATATGTCTGATAAATAAATGAACTAATAACCCTGAGAGCGCTGTAAACACCTGTAGCCGTGCACAAAGATGGCGGCCATGGCGCTCTCATCTTTGGGTTTTTGCTATACTGAAAAGTCACATGTCAGTGTCAGTGGGTCAGGTGATCTGTTCAGATCCATAACGAGATACTGGGACGAAGTGTGGCCAGGCTCCTAAGAAAGTGGAGTTGGATATAAGCAAAGTGTCCCCTTAACCAGCACTTTGACTTTGGTCCTGATGATTTGGGATGGTTTAGAATAAGTCTGGTGCTGCAAACAAAATGTCCACTGACACTGACAGGAGCTCACCTTTACCTGTCCCAGGTCAACCGTGCACACAAGCGATAATAATAGTAATAGTGATTTTAAAGCACTTTTCTGCACACACAGACACCGCAGCAGGTTTTTAGGAGGGAAATGACTATGATAGGAACGACTCCTAATTAAGAGTTTAATGTGTCCAGATAAGATAGTCACAAAAAGGATTTGAGAACATCTTTTCTGTGAAGGTGAAAGAGGAGGATTTAAGACGTTTAATGGGAGGAAGGTGCTTTGATAAAAAGAGCTAATTCAACTTAAAGCTGGAGCGTGGGGCTTTCACTTTCACGCTCTTTTCCTGAACTACTTCACACAGTGCAGATTAACCCTGTCAGCTCCAGGTAAATCTCTGTGTTCTGCACCAGTTTTAAATCTGGTGTATGTGGCGACTTCCCGGCGCTGCAGTGATGCGTTTTAGATGAACCAGCAAGTTTGCCAGAGATGAAGAGGATGTTCTAGAGGCTTAACAAACACTTGGGGCCGGTTGCACAAAACACCTTAAGTTTTCTACTGAAGTATATCCACTTAAGGTTTAATTTCTCCGTAGCTGAGGGAGTTACTTGCACAGAATCTCTGAAAAGGTTTCCTTAGTTAAGGAAAAACTTAATGCATTTGAAACCTAACCTTCTACTGCATCATTAAGGGTGTCTCCTGGTCGTGGTTTTGGTCGCTAAGGTGTTTAGTGCAACAGATTAACTGACTGAGTGATTCCTTAAGTATAAGATTCACATAAGGAGAAAACCTTAAATACTTAAGTGAACATTTTAAGGAAACCTTAAGGAGAAGACTTAAGGGTGTTTTGTGCAGTCATTTATATTTTAAGGAAACCTTAACTCAACTTGAAGGAAAATCTTGGCTTAAGGTTTTGTGTTACTGGCACCTGGTATTATTTCTCAGACTTTTGTTATGTCCCCCTGGAAACAACATCCTGAAGGTTACTGGGTGAAATATGTGGGTAGGAACCTTCAGCATGTTGCACTGTGTTGCACGGGGGACACATAATAAAATCTGGGAAACAACACACAGCTGTCAGCCGAGTTCTTGCGTTGTATGTTTACGATGTACAAGTTACATAAAAAAAGAAAGTTGGCGTTCAGAGGAAGGATTGTAGTCTGGAAAGAAAGCGATCAACAGCGATTATAGTTAGTGTGACTTTTCCTCGCCGGGGAGCTGAAAGAAGAGAAGGGACTGAGACAGACATGTATGTTGCCATTTACTCTACCTAAATAATGAATCATCTTGGAATTGTGGAAATTTCTCTGTATTTAACCGTGTATGTGTAATTACTTTCACGGCCACAGGAAGGAGCACTGCAGGTTTAAAGAACTATATTTTGCATTGTAACAGTTTATGTTCTCTGTGGTTGGTGCACAAACAGCATCTCCTAATTCTTTAGCAGATGACATGTGTTCATGATTCAAATGGAAACGTGTGTTTTCTGTTCATCTCTCAAGTTAAAGTTTAATATTTTAAAACTGAATATTTGCCAAACTGTTCAAACCCCAGTCCGACACTGCGGCCTTTAAGGGTGAATTTAAAACTTGAGATTTTGGGGGGAAAGTAGGGCAGCTGATAAAACTCTGAGTCTTAATATTAAACGAACAGAATTTCACTCTGTGTCAGTCAACCAAGCAGAAAATTGAATGGAGCACTCCAGTGATAACAGTGAATGTAAAACTCCATTCTGCAGGAAGACTAGATACTAGAATGGAGACCCAGAGGAGGAATATTATTGCTTCTGTTATTACTTCTCTCTATGATGAACTCAAAATATATATTCCCTATCTCAGGCTGCTTGTTCTAAACATTTCTGACACGCTTGCAACGATTTCGTAAGAGTTCATTTGGGGCTTTGGATTGTGGCCAAACATTTTAACCCAGAAGAGATAAATAAGGAATCTCAGTGATGTAACAGTGGCAGCAGCTTAGACAAAAACAGAATGAATGATGTGAAGAAGTCATGTTAATTACCACATTCAAATTCTTTTATAATGAGATGAATTGTTTTGATTTTCACTTTGTAATCGATGGAGTTATGTACTGTAGTCTGAGCAGTCATTGATGGTGTTATCAAAGAACTGAGGAATAACAATGAGCGTTACAGTTGTAGTCCTAAAGAAAAATGAACGATCTCTGGACACATCACATGAAAGTCCCACTAGCTCTCAGTTCATCCGTCATTGATCCAGTTTGTTTTGTACGCTGCAGCCTGAAGCCCTCACACACAGTTAACTGAATTATACCAACATGGGTTAATGATGAAAAATAACCATTAACCAGCTGATAGTTCTGGGTGTGTTCTTAAATTCAATGTGAAATGGACAGAGCATCATCTGAACTGTCGGTTCAGGTCACTCAGAGCGAGTGGGGTCAGTGATGTGGGGGCTGTGTATCACATTTGTTTTACATTTCCATCGTTACAAAATCAGTCTGTAATAGTGATTTGTTCAGAACTGTGCTGTCGAAGTTTGTTAACAATACAGTATCTTAACGAAGCCCATCCTAGTCGTGTGGCATCACATGCTCAGGCAGGTTCAGTCCATCTCAAACGTTTTCATTCTCTTTGTCTCTCTTCTGTTGTTTGCCTCTTTTTGTCACTTAAAAAATGCTGTGATCAATGTCTGTAAGAGGCGTCAGAACTGACCAAATGATATGCCAGACAGCCGACATGAGGTGTTAGAAAACTATGTGTTGCTTTTGTTAATATCAGAGCTTGTGTTTCACAGAAGCTCTAATTAACCACTCGGTGACTTAAAGGAGGCCTATTGATTTTCTTCTTTAGTTCATTTACTTTTTCAATGTGGTAAAAATAACAGTTTTGAAGATGTGGTGCCATGTTGTGTCAAGTGTACATAATGAGAATAGCTCAGGGAAATGTCCGGCCCCGGGCCCTTAGCTTTAAGGAAACGTGGCCCCCTGAACAACATGGTTGAATGACACTGCCTTAGAGCTCAAGGAGTGTTTGCTGCCCCCCGGTGGTCGTTACACGTGTCATTTTCACTTGGCAAAACATTTGTTGTCACCACCAGTAACAACAGATGTTGCCAAATCAAGCAAGAAATCTTTAAGATTTTTAACTTGAACCGACATGTTGCCGAATCCAAACCTGCTAGAACAGATGATGAACCGTGTGTGGTTTTATTAAAGCTGACAACATATGATCATAAAGCCACAGTCTGTGAACACTCAACTGAACTTCCTCTTCCTCTCTCCAGTTTCCCAGCAACCAGGAAGTATGCAGGGCTTCGGGGTCAACGGGATGACAGGTGGTGACCCGGGGGTTACCATGACGCACCCAGCATATGCTGCACAGCCTGGCTCCGCCCATATGATGATGAGCTCCTACCCTCCACCTCCGTCCTACTGCAACCACCCACCACCGCCCTACGAACAGATATTTCAAAACAGCGACAAGAAGTAACGTCTGCACTAAGCACTGAGGACATCGAACTTGACACAAGGGAAGGAAGTAAGGAAGGAAAGGAAAGAAGGATGCAGCGAGGAGGAATTAACAGGAAAATCAGATGAAGATGAGGAAGAGGAGGAAAGCCTGACAATTGTTTCCAACTTTTTGGATGGAAAACACACAATCTGTTGTTCAGTGGAAAAGACCAAAAGAGGCACCGTAACCAGAATCATCACACACACACACACACACACACACACACACACACACTCTCACACACACTCTGGAGTGATTAATTTATGTGGATCTATGTGTACAGTGACGGCGCCGGGCCGAGGATGGACCAGTTTAGGTTTAGGATTCACTCACGTTCACCTCTCTCCTCCACCCTCCCATCACAACCACAGCTAGAACTGTACATCATGTATTAAGATGTTGGAGATATGATTTTCTAATTAACAGTAATCACAAAAAGACACTGATGTACAAACGGTTCTTAAAACCAGTTTCAGTGATGACACTGCAGCCGGGGCTTTTTACTAAATGAAAGTTCTTGATACATTTTTTATTTCAGTGTGTAGTTCAGTTGCGTAACGACCTAATGAGCTACGACAGCAGTAACTGGCTTGTTCTCCTGTTCGCAGTGATGAAGGCTTTCAGTTCAGCACCAGGTGAATCACATGGACGGAGCCAAGCTGAGATGGTTTGTACCAACTCTGACGTGCTGTGTAAAGCTGGTGGTTTGTGCCATAACGTTATTCTGGAAGATGACCACAACAGCTGTGACCAGCACAGTCAGTATAGCTACACGATCCTGTCCTGTACGTCCAGCATGGGGAGCACTAGCTACAGCATGTGCTGCAGATGCTGCATTCATGCACGATCAGGAAAACCAACTGTTATTCTGACTTGTGTGCTATTCCAAGATGGTTCCCCCCGCTCTGTCACCAGCTTTAAAAACGTCCGACTTAAGCAGAAAATTTAATTCATTCAAACAGTGGGAGCAGTTAATTTGATATGACTTTTTCACCTCGATGCACTTCAGTGAACTTTGACCCCTGAATGAGCAGTTGACCAACAGAAGGCCGTGGTGACAGTGCTGAGGTTTGGGGGGATGGAGTGCTCTCACTCCTCTGTCAGTGGGAACTACTTATTTTGTATTTTCACTGTAACTTGGATCACTTTGGAAAAAGGTGTGTTCTCATGGTCAAAGAGTGAGGTGACACAGTCTGTGTTTACAAAGACCAGTTCAAGTACAGCTGGTTTTTGTGTGTACGCATCATTTATGCATCTGGCCCCTGGTCTTTAGCCTTTTAGTCACGCCAGTTAAAAAGCCTAAATTAGCTGCTTATGTTGGATTTATATTTGGAGCAGTTCATTAACAAGTGAAACCAGATACAAACAAACGGTGCACAGCTGCTTTTGCATGTTTTTTTTATGCACAACAATTTTAATTTTGAACATGAAAACACTTTGATTCACTTTGTGACTCGAGTCACGATGAAAGATCTGTGTGTCACTGTGGCAGAGAGAGATGGGCCGTCTGTATTCAATGTGTATGTGTAGGTTTACATTAGGGAGAAATACTTGGCTACAATTTTAAATCAATGATTTAATGATTAAAGGGCGTGTTGCCATAATTAAATGTGCCAACATTTACATAATTAGCGAGAAGGGGATGCACATGGTCGTTCTGCTGCTCTCTGTGTCGGGACGTGTAGGAGCTGCAGCAGTGATCAGTGAAGGAGCATCAGCTGCTGGAGACTGACTCCTCATTCACAGTCATTTCTTCTCTTCTTAAGATTTACGCTAAGATGTGCAGTTTTTCTTCAAGTTCCTGCAACAAATATCTCCAACACATTGGTGGTGAAATATGGTGAAGTTCTCATGGCAACAGTTGCTCAGGTAAATCAGACCCTAGATAAAATGAAATATTTGATGAAAATCAGAGGAAAAGGAGCCAAACAAAATGTATTGATGTGATGATTCCCTTAGTAAAGCTTCCTCTTAGTAAAATATGTGTTATTTTGTCTAAGTGATTTCTTCATAAACAGCCCCTGTTGTGTAAGAGTGAACAGACTGTCACCTCTGCTCCACCTGGCTGTCTCAGTGCAGTCAGTGTGACTGTATGTGGGAGAGGGAGAGACACAGTCGTCCTCTCAGACAGTCTGCTGAATATAGAGCAGCTCTGTGCTCCCAGCAGGACGTCAGGCAGCAGCTTCAGAGGCAGATACACGTCCAACATCAGCCTCCTGCTCGGTTTACTGCAGTGTTCAGCCTGAGCTTCGACCGAACAGCTCAGGTGTTAAAGGTCGTCTGCCAGTCACTATTCTGTGCTAACACACCACGTCTCGACCTGGTCCAGGACTGTACATGTTATTGGTCTGTGTGGATCTTAGTCGCTATCACAGATCTGCTCATGAAATTTGTTTTGTCTGTTGGATTTCACAAGACTAGCTGTTCCCCCTGTGTCCCGTCTCTATGCTAAGCTAACTTGCTATATATCACTTCACAAATGTTTTTTTTTCCATCATGCTTTAAAGTCTTTCCAACTATTTACTATTTTTAGTATTTTCCTGTCACAAATTTTCTGAGCGGTTCTGTGACTTATTATAATGGTCCTGGATCAGGACTACACTGTCGTGAAGTGTGACCATTTTCATGCCAAAAAAAATCACGGTTTTTGCCAAAACTCTGGAAAAGGCGTTTGAAAACCAGAGTGAAAGCCCAGAAAATAATTGACAACATCATGTATGAAAACTGATCTAAATGTCAGTTCAGAGTACAAAGCGTCACTTTGTCACGATTGAATTTACATGTGTTTACTCATGGTTATTTATTGATGTCCTGGGAACCGATGCCACGCTGATGTTGTTTGTACAGAGTGATGTGTGTTATTTTACTGAAGAACAGAACGACTGCTCCAGTGGAGTAACTTGTGATTTTTGGTTCTTTTTGGACATTTCGTGCTGCAATAATTACCTAGAAGAAGAAGATGATGATGATGATGATGATGATGATGATGATGATGATGATGATGATGTGGTAGTTTTAAAGAGGTAGCCGAGCTCTTTCTGTAGCATAGGTTTGTCTTCGTCGCCATCCCACCGACACAACAATCACCGACCACACTGAAAACACAACGGGCCTTATCCAAGAATCTTTCTCAGCAAAGCTGCAAGGCCTTTCATCCTACAAATTTAAACTCCACATTCATTCAGATTCAGATTATGATTCTCAAGTTTCTTTTCTCTTCATGACTGGTCAGCAGGTACTCGCATCTTTCATTTAAATTGTAAATATAGAGAGAAATTGGAGAAAAGCAACAGGTTCCTTATGTATGTCGCTGGAACACGCCTCACAAGTACGTTCTGCCTGTTCGGTTCTTGCGTGAGGCCTGTTCCTCCCTGATGTAGACTGAAGACTTGCATCTAGTGGCCGTAACGGGTTCCACAGCTTCTGGACGACATGACGACATTTCCATGTTTTAAAAAAAAAGAAGAACGCTTTGTGGCTTGCATGGCTAAAAGAAGTTTTAAAAAAAAAAAAAAAGGAAAGGAAAAAACATTGCCAGTGCGTGTAATGAAATCAAGTTCTCATCCTTTTTTATGGCACAAATAAGAACTGACCTGATGGGAGTGCGAAATATGGAAGACCAATTCTGCCACTGGAAAAAACAACTTTTATTTAAATTAAAAGGTATTTGTTCTCATTGTTATGACTTTGTATCGCATAGAAATGTCACAAAATTATGAAATATTATCATATCTTATTATGAGAAACATCTTTTATCAGCATTTAGTTAGTATCACATACTTGTGGAAGTTTCTCATAATTATATTGTTTTTTTTTTAAAGAGATACTAAGTCATAATGAGTTACCAGTTCATAAGATACCATTATAAGATGATAATTCTGGCTTAGTACCCATGAAAATGAAAAGGTAAATACATAATAATGACTTGTTGGTGGATTTTCTTCCATATGTCCGAAGGGGAGGTCAAGGAATCACCAAAACCTAATTCACAGCAAACATAAGTGTACTGTATTTTTCATATTAAAGAATTAAACCTCATTCACAGCCGATCATCAGCAGGTCGTTAAATTAAAGGCGTTAAAGTACGGACACCCATTTCTTAATCTGTATACAGTATTTAAAGAATGACCACCGCCTGTCCTCCAGTGGACGCCGCTTTATGGCACCAGATGTGGTTGTGAAAGCCTGTACTGACTCTTTGTTACGGTGATTTAGTTCACAGTCTGCGCCCTGTTTTAAATATCGTTTATGGATGGAGAGGATTCCTGTCCTGGTCCATCCAGCTGTGGTGCTGTTTCACAGTGAAAGAACATCTGTAAAGCACACGCCAATGTAGAGTCGATGGAAGGCCGCCTGAGAGACTCTCCTGATCCCAGTCTGGTTTCCAGGCTCCTACAGGAAACCAGTAGCAGGGTTTGGAACAAGACTGGGGCCCCTCACAGCAACAGAGTCTCTTTAGGTCTCAGGCTGTTTGATGATAGAAATACATAGCACAATATTAGGAAAAGGCATTCTGTTTAATCATGTCAAACTATGCAACAGATTCTGTAATTGAAGCATCTGAACCCTCAGTTCTCTCTTGTTAACTTCTCCTTTTCATCTGCTTTGAGGATTTCAACATAAAATATCATGATACATTGTGAAATATGTAAATAAACTTCACTTCTGATAAAATGTGATTCTGACTATGTTGATGTTTTTTATTCATCCCACAAAGGAAATTAACCGCATGTTTTCTGACTTGGTGAGGCTGTTTGTAGGCACGGCAGTGCTTTGAGCTAAATGCTAACCTAAGCATGGTAGCAGGTAGGCATGCTAACATTTGCTAATTGGCACTAAATGCTGTAGTTTCTGCAGTTTTCACTAAATTAAATGTCTTGTCAGTCAAACAAACAAAAAAAACAGGGTTCCCACAGATCCTTAAGTCTTATTTTAAAAGGCATTATTTCATCTCAAAATAAGCCCTTAATTAGTATTTAATGTCTTAAAATACTAAGAAATTAGCAAGTAGGGTTTTAGGAACAGTTTTATTCAGATATTGCAGTTTAACACCTCAAAATAACTGATAAAATCTATTTTTAAATAATTTACTGAATACCTCCCTCACTGATGTTTTGCTGATCAGGATAGCGGGACGACAATGCTCATAATTTGTTTGCAGCTCTGATGCTTAGAGCAGATGCACTCAGATCAGATCAAATTAAAACCTGCACTGTCCGTCTTTATAACTGAGACTCTGTTGACATTAAGACACCTGTCAGACTGTCAACCAATTCCTCTGCACTGAAACATTTACTGAATATTCATCACTGTAAAAACACATGAAGAATTATTTCTCATGTTCTGATTGGACGCGCTGATGAACAGTCCTATCATAGCTGTCATATCATGCTGTGGATGATGATGCTTCTGAGTGAAGAAGACAGTAATGCATCTGAAAATACTTTAACATTTAATAAATGTAGTTTAAAAGTGAGGATTTTAATAAAGGCTGCAGATAGTCTGAAACTGTTTTACAGCATTTCAGTCACTGTATATAAATTTACTACATGTTCAAACAGTCATTGATGCTTTTGATTTTTGTAACATGGACATCTGAAAATTTACACTCAGCTTTAACCTTGATGCTCTTTTCAACTGAAAATCACCAAAATCATGAAACTTCCTGGGTCAGAATCTGAGGCTACAATAATAGATCAATACATTTCTATCTGATCTGTTTCATCTATATCTATAAACACTTTGCCTGATCTGTTTCATCTATATCTAGATCTTGGTCCTCATCACGTGACATCCGAATAAATATATTTAAACATTTAGTTTAACAAACGTGTTTTTCTTTAGTTTTGTTTGTTTGTTTTTTAGAAATAAACCTGCTCTAATGTCACACACTCAATTTTCTGGATTAAAATGGAGGCGCTGCTCTTTATTTACCCGTTGCCATGGTGAATCGTTGAATCGGAGATCCATTGATGATGACTACTTATATTCCTCATGCACGCGGTTGAGTTGATTGAACTAACTCAGATCAGCTGTTCTGGAACCGAAAACCTCTCAGGGTTCATCCACTCAGAGTCAGAGTTTGTTCAACATGTTTGTGGAAACCAGAAATAAAAACACACAGAGAGTGAACCGCGGAAACAACAACCAGGTAAACTCGTTCTCTCTAAGTTTGAATTCAGCAAATAACATCAACAGACTGATGTGTATCTCTCTCTCTCTCTCTCTCTCTACCTGAGCTGCACGGTGCGTCTCTTGGTCTGTTTCCTGTTTACCTGTTTACATTTGTCCCGTGACTCAAGGTAAGAGTGAAATACTTTATTTATTTATTACGTTAGATAAACATCAATAGACAGCAGTGTTTATAAACTGAAGGTAACCGAGTCGTGCGTGTAAATGCGTTCATGTGCGCGTGCATGAAAAAAAGTCGCGCGTGCCAGCAGCAACCTGTGGAGACGAGTCCAGACAATATATGACACCTGATCGTTTTAAAACAAGACAGTGATCTTCTAGTCTCTTAGTCAAGGTTTAGTTACAACTCTAAGACTATCGCAAGACGGACTGACACTGACTATTGATTAAATATTGAAAATAAAACCTGGATCAGCTGGGCATACTGCACATCTCTCAGTAAATAATAACCACGTGAGGACTGGGCTGATGACCAGGCAGCAGACAAAGCTCACTGTTATATTGATTAGTTGTTATATTATTTTATTATTATTTATCAGAGTTTCTTATTTCTGTTAATGTAAATATTAATTATTTAAAGATCCTGTAGAAAATGTTCTATTCAGTAAATATTGTTTGTTTAAACGTCATCCTCATCTGTGTAAGTCGACTTTTTTCTTAATTCTTAATTCTTTAATATTAATTAAAACATGCCCATTGCAAAAAAAAAAAAAATTTTAAGTAATGTTAACGTTTTAACACCTTCTCTGGCCTTTAGGAGCCGTGTTGGCAGGATGAACATCAGTCTTGCAGGTATTGGGCTCACAAACCAAATTCGGACCTGACCGTAACCCTAACCCAAGATGAAACATCAGAGGATCCACCAAAGTTATTACAATTCATTCTGAGGGGAAAATGATTGTTTGTATTTAATTTCACGGCAAAACAGCCGACAGTTTGGACCGACTGACTTTTCCTTTCCGAGAGCCACACTGGCAAGAAACCAAAAAAACAACCACAGGCCTTTTGAAGAAGCAGCCTTAAAGATGTTCAGATACACCAGTGATGAGCAGATGGCATAGATAACATGGCCGTCAGCCATTACAGCTTGTGCTCCAGCTGATTATAGCAACCAGCTTCAGTTAGATGACGAGCTCAGGTAAATGTTCCCTGTGTAAAAAGCCCAGAAACTCTGATTTGTGTCAAAATTCTGAACAGATATTTGGAACAATTTTTGCTCACAGATAAATTATATTTAAAAAGAAAATAGTATCAGACAAAGAACGATTAAATTTGAGCAAATCTAAAATAATTTCCTGCTCAGCAACTCAATATGTTTGTCTGACAGTGACACAGTATGTAACAATAAAAGCCATTTACTGTGACTGTTTCTGATCAGCTATTGCTGCTCAAACAATTTGATCTTAAATAATAATTTCTCTACAAAATAATTAGGTGCGAACAAGAATCTTTTTCTAACATCAAAAATGTCTCCTACGGAAGTGCCGAAAGGCTCTAGTTGTAATTACTTTTTTCTTTAATGCTTTCTTTTAAATTTTATTATGTCGAGATAACAAGCAGGTTAATTTATCTCAGATCATGGTAGTTGAATGTGGAGGGAAAGGAAAACGAGCTGTACCCAGATCAGCACCACGGGGGCCGGGACAGCTCCGCTTCAGGCTTCATATACAGTGTTAAACATGGGTGTTAATCCAGAATACAGTTAGCTCCAGGTTCTATAATATTAATATTATGCTGATCCTAATAAACTGAAGTGAAAGAGACTGGACATTGCCACTGAGGACCAACAGTAATCTCTGAAGCTGCTGGGAGAGAAGGAAAAGCTAATTTTCTGTAGATAATGAGATAAATTAACAAGTTATCAGGAGAAAACGAGTTTTGTTATGTAGCTGAAATAATTAGAGGAGACCGGGGCATCTTGTCACACTGATCATATCTCCAAAACCAGAGGGGGCTATCTAAAATAAACCAACAACTGCATGTTCCTCTGAATGTTCTCAAGTCATCTTACTCTCGACAGATGTCCTGCATCACTGTACCTGAGCTGAGAACAATTTTCAACCCTAAAAGTACAAAATCTAAACTGCACTATTTATGTTATAAAACTTGGACACATAAGTGTGTTCAATGATGTTACTTTTGCATGATAGAGGAAAGAAAAGATGCATTTTGAAACCTAAACCAACCAAAGGGAGGACAATGTTATTAAATTATTTAATTGATTAATGTGATCAGTCTAATATCAGAAGCCGTGACTTCTCGATTCAATGGATCTCCAGTCTCTACTTCAAAGGAACACAACAGGACAAAGACTGAATGTAAATAAAGAAGTTTATTAATTAGACTACTATCGAAAGAGTAAAGCAGCGTGTAATCATCAGGATAAAAATAATAATGAAATGAATTCAGTTGGAAATGGTGGGAGAGAATATATTACGGCTATTTACACTGTGGCTATACAACTAATGATATGAATTATATTTGATGATTAAATATTGTTATATTCCAACATCAATACAGTCAGGAGCAGAAAGTTAAGACCAGCCGACTGTGAGTTGCGCTTTAGCTGAAGACCCTTGGCTTGAACCCAAGCAGATGATGTGCTCTATAATGGTTGAAAAGGCATTTTTCATTTCAGCTACATTTTAAAAAGTTTAAGATGATTAAACATTTGAAATATAAAGGGGGGGGGGGTGCACACAATAAGCCTTTTAGTTAGAAAAATATATAGAATCAGAGGAGTTAAGGTCAAGTTAAGTGGATGGTTGAGGTGTTTTTTCATCTGAAAAATAATGTGACAGTTTAACCTGTGATGGGGAAACGTGACACAGCACATTCTGTTCTTAACCATTTAGATAGATATGTACATACCTACATAGTTATATACATACATTCATTCATATGTACATAAATAGATATAGATATATTCATACATAAATACTGTATGACACTTTTGTGACTTTTTACTGTGATGTTTTAGTATAGTAAGGCATAAAAAGTCATAAAAACGATATGGTATAGTAAGACATAAAAATGTCATAGTATAGTAAGACAAAAACGTCATAGTATAGTAAGAGATAAAAAATCATAAAAACGTCATAGTATTGTAAGGCATAAAAAGTCATAAAAACGATATAGTATAATAAGACATAAAAAGTCATAAAAACGTCATAGTACAGTAAAACATAAAAACGTCATAGTATAGTAAGGCATAAAAAGTCATAAAAACGTCATAGTATAGTAA